GTAGAGCCACCGGAACCTTTGTTACATCCGCTATAAGACAGAACAGCCGTCACCCAAGATGGAAAGAACTATTGGTGCTTAGGCAAACTTACTGAAATATAATTACGTTATATGGTAGTTAGCGAGAGCAGAGAAAAAAGCGCTACCACCACACAAACACCGCTAACACCGGAAACGGAAATGGGTCAATACGCTTACCGCTACGCTTACGCCAGCTTACGCTTACGCCAACAACTCCAGTGGAAAAGTCAGTCCGGCAGGGGTGAAGGGAGGAAGAGCAAATATCTGAGCTAATGCCTGCTGTGGTGATGAACACAGCCAGCTGTTTTAGTGAGAATGACAGATATAACTACACCAGTCTTTTGAAATATGTGTAAAGTATAAACTAAAAATAAAACGGTCTAAATGCTCTTTAACATCGGAGTGCAAACAAAGGATTTTCTCCAGAAATAAAACAATATGAATCTATGTAGGGCATGTCTGAAGTACTTCCTAAGTATAAGTCATTTAACTGACAGTTTTAAAGGTTTGATGGTGGTGCATGTAACGGTTATGGGAGCTTTTGCAACTAAAACGAGTGGAGTTGTATATTATTGGTTTTATGGGAGCCAAATTAGGAGACGTAAAGAAATCATTTGTCGCATGAAAAAAAACACAAATCAGTGTGCACTCTTCATAGGCTTTTTAAGTTACATCCAATCGTCACAGCCAAGCTGACACAACAATTGGTTTCTTATGAACTGTGCTCTGGACTTTCAGTCTGATATTTAAATTGGCAGTTATAGCATGCTCAATTTTCCTCAGAAATTAGAATTTAGGATCTACATACTGTGCTCACTGATCAGGCAAGTAAGTCATGGTCATACATGGTAACATTGAACGTTCACATTCTATTATCTGTATACAAAACTGCCTCGCTTTGTTCACAGAGGATGAACAGTACAATGTGTTTTACTGATCAAACGATACACGTGAGAGAAGTGATAGTTACTGTATCTATGTGCCGTTTGGTCATGTTGGATTCTTAAACCAGGCCTGGTGAGGATCCTTCAACTATTCTGTTGAGGAACTACTTTTTCTCAATGCCAAAAAAACAGAGCTCAAATTCAAAGCCCTGTTCTTTAGGTTATGCTTAAAACAGCTTTGTCACATGTCCAAAAACCGACAGAAGTGAATGGTGAGTGAACTGAAACTCTGAAGCCTTCTGTTGAGCTCCGAGACACTGTGGGGTCGTGAGACAATTCCTCCTCGCTGCGTAACTTGCTTACATGTAATCACTGAGCGCAACTGACAACCAATTGCTTCTACATCTGTACTATCTTGATTATAATTTACATTATTTACTCTCTCTTTAGATCGTCTCCAATAAAGACACAAGGCTTGTCACATAAGCAGTCTATGTCATCTACATGCTTTTAGCGAAAAGCAGCAACCATTTTACCTGATCTTGTCTAGGAGATAGCTGAATGCGATTACCATAGAATGACAGTCTCTATAAGGTTTAAAAAGGATACCTACAGCTCACTGTATGGAAGACCAGTTGTTTATTCAGGCGGATGAAGACCGACACAGAGTTACAGAGACCATTTTGGTCAAAATATTTGCCTTATTGAGCAATTAGGGCTAGTTACCAAACATAACCTCACAGGATGCAAGTATGTTTAGTATCACCTGTTTGCATCTTGGTCAGCTGAAACTTACCCACAGATTGCTATGTATGTGGAAGAATGAAAACAAAATATCGTTTAGATGTGTTATCATTGTTGGGTTTACAGTTAAGTTACTAAAACCCAATGTGTCAGCACTGCCACGACATTTGAGGAGACACTTCTTAGTCCTTATCCTCCAACTACCGAAGAGGAAGTGTGATGGAATGAACGTCAAATCCTCCAGTGTAGAAAAATTAACTCTACGACAGATTTGGGATTTTCGCCTCACATGTTTAATCATGTTTATTCAAACATTCGAGCCCACATTTTTTCCCCCAAACCTGCTGTAACAACTGGACACAATGACAAAACATTTTAAACTGGAGGACAGTTATGTACAGAATTGAAGTTTGTTGTCAATTAATTACACCTCAAGGGTTTACAGGTTCTGCCTGGATAGATTTGTTAAAATGTTTATCATAAATTGCGAAATGGAAAAGCACTGGAACAAATCCTTTGGTGCATCACTGATCTATATGGGGAAAAAAGCCATTTGTATATACATGTCATATTCATTGTTGTTGTTTTTTTACCTTATTGCTCTTTGTGAGTTATATCTTATCATGTAAATATTGTTGTAATGGCTGCTCATACTACTGAGCATTAATATTATTATAAGTAAAGCTTTCCTCGTTGTCTTGACTCCAGATATGATTAGTCCACATCGGTGATAGCTATCGCTGCAAACATGCACCGGCAGATTTGAGGAGTATATTTTGTCTCTTAATTTGGATTCATGATGTCCTTCACCACTCTGATGATTAATAACCCCCTCGAATGCCTTGCATGTGTGCCAGAAAGTATCAGACAAATTAACAACCAAGGACCTACATGTTAATTATCTTGGCCAATGGCATTGCAAAAAAATGGGTTGGGTGAGGTAATATGAGCTGCAGATCCACAAACCACAGGAGAAGAGCGCTAAAGGAATGATAGAAAGGATCCTGGTGGGCTAAAAAGGTTTTACATGTGGCAGCTGAAACTATTCATAAAAACAATGGCTTTTATCTTTAGCTGCAGATGATCCATGTAAGTGGATATACTCAATTATGATTACAATACGGTTTCAGATATTTTTGTCCTCTCTTGATAAGAATCGTAAGGTTCAATTGACATTATCACAGT